CTGTTTGTGTCCACGAGTTTCAGTTTTATATCCGACATATGAGTGAAATCATATGATTCTTAGCTTTTTCTGACTGACTTATTTCGCTCAGCATAATATCCTCAGGGTCCACCCATGTTGTTGCAAATGGCAGTATTTTCTCCTTTCTCATGGCTGAGTAATATTCCACTGTGTACGTGTCCCACATCTTCTTTATCCAGTCCTCTATCGCAGGACACTTTGGTTGTTTCCATGTCTTGGCCACCGTAAGTAATGCTGCAACGAACATAGGGGCGCATATATCTTTGCAAATACATAAAACCTGGTCACTTTGAGGCTGGTGTAAAACTTTCAAACTAAATATTAGCCTATCTTCAATATTTTATACCCCATTTCATCCAACTCTACCGCACCCCCCCAAAAGTGCCATCATAGTTTTGAATTTAATAACTCTGTAGTCATAACTAGAATTTTAGTCCCTTAAGAATAGGCTGTCTTTTAGTCTTTGTATCCCCAGCACTTAACAGAGAAGACACCTTACATACAGAGATTAAAACAATGTTGGAAGAAGATGATATTTGAGGCAAAGTGACTTTTAAAGTTGAACTCATCGGACAAAGTCAAATAAAAAAATATGGGTGATCCGCTTTCAGACTTACATCTCTGGCTAATTTTTAATTTCATACTGTTTTACTCTTTCCATTTGTCAAAGTACTGCTCAGGCCATAATCTGTGTATTTGGGAAGAGCAAGCAGATGTGAATACAGACTGATTTTATTATCAGCCAAAGAAAAACATAACTAGAAAATTCCCAGGCCCCAGAAAATGAGGAAAGTTAAAATAGAGACTTCACTAGTGTAGAGGTGGATGCTAATTACAGATTCAAGTATTTGGTTTTTTGTTTTTTCCTTTGAATAGACTCCAGCTCAGAATGCTTTCCTGTTTTTAGTTCTGTCCCTTGGTTTTGCAAATTACTTAGTTCTCTATTCTGCAAGCTATCAGTCTGCTAATCATTTCCTTTTATTTTCTGTCTACAAATACCACCAGCCTTCACAAAGAGGAAAAATACGGAAAATACCAACAGCACCTTTTTTAAAAAACCTGTCATCTTTCAAGAATGCTTATATTAAATTCAAATACCTGACAAATGATAAATATCAAAATCATAATGTTACACAGGATATTTTATTTCTTTTTTTTAATTTTATTTACTGATTTGTAGAGAGAAACATCCATTTGTTGTTCCACCCATCCATGCATTCATTGGTTGCTTCTTTTTTAAAATAAATTTTGTTTTAAATATGTTTTTATTGATTTGAGAGAGAGAGGAAGGGAGAAAGAGAGGGAAACATCGATGTGAGAGAGAAACATCATCATATGCCTCCCACATGCAACCGGGGCATGTGCCCTGATCGGGGATCGAACCAGCTACCTTGCAGTGCACAGGATGCCTCTCAGCCAACTGAGCCACACCAGCCAGGCCATTGGTTCATTCTTGTATGTGCCCTGACTGGGGATTGAACCTGCAACTTTGGTGTATTAGGATGATGCTCTAACCAACTGAGCTACCCTGCCAGGACCATTTTATTCACTATTACTAAAACATCAAAGTGGTATTAACACTGACCATCTTCTGAAAAATGAGCTATGAGTCACAGTTGTATTCTTTAAGTCATTATTATAGCACATTGCCCTATAAAATTAAATTAGCTTTAAATTTTCTTGTTTTGCATTTTCTTCCAGCTAATAGTTTCCAATAATATGAGAAACTGCAAGATGACTATAGTTTTAAAAACTGATTTTTTTCCCCTAATTCAAAACTTTTCATCCATGATCAGAAGACTGACCAAAAGATCAGGTAGTAAAGCATAGTTTAATCATAAAATCATTAAATCTCAGTAGTCAAAGGGGCCTTAATTTCTTCAGTCTTGCAACTAATTATTGAATTCTCTCATAAAATTCCCAGCAAAAGGTTGAGCTCTAGTTTAATTCCTGAGATGGCAAAGAATTCACCGTGTCCCAGGACAGTTTATTCCATTTTTGAAAAGCTCTTTAAGTATTAAAACATTGGGAAAAAAGTATCGAAGCATTCATCCTTGCATTGGATAGAAATCTTCCTTCCTGTAACTTCCATCCAGTGATCCTAATAGTGAGTTTTGGAGCCATGCTAAACAGTTTTAATCCTTCCATTCAGATGTTTGAAGACAGCTGTCATTTTCCCTGAAGTCTTGTCCAAGTTAACTTGCCTAGGTTAATTTAGCTGTTCCTCATATAAACTGGCTCAGAATCTCCTCACTGTGCCCAAAGTACAGAGCCAGAACTGGACACAACTGCGGGTACAGTCCAGCACACAGGAACTTGGGACTATCACTTCTTTTGCTTTGTGTCTTAAATTTCTGTTAGGCTCCCCAAGTTGCATTAGCTTTTTGGACAACCACATAATGCTGCTGGCTCATATTAATCTTGCAATCAACTACAAGTCCTAAATTGTTGTTATCTTTAAACAAATGTTGGTCTTAAACTAACATTCAAATCTAATTTTATATAGATCACCCCTGCGTTAAGACTACACAATTATAACAAATAGTTTCTGATATATACATCCCCAAGGTTGATGGGATAAAATGAAACTAATTCCTTTTATCTGTTATATACTGACCACATATAATGACTTAGTTTCTATTGATCTGGATCTGTACCCTATTGGTATTTAGAATGGCATGGGCTTCATGTGTGCATCTTGATTGGAGGGGAAAAACAGATTCATTAAATTTACCTGGACATTTTCCACATGTTAATCTATTTTCCAAAAGCCCATGAACTTTTCCCCTAAATTGTATATTTTTAAAGCTGATTTTTGAGCCAAAAATGTGTAAGTTATGCAAAATTCCTTTTTCTCAGTACTTTTAGAGTTAAAACACTTTCTGATGGTCAAAATATTAACATACCTTTCCTTACAGTCTTGAAATGACTACTTCAAGCATTACAGTGTCTTTAAAAATATGATAAATATGGATAGGGATAAATGATTTCTCTTATTAAAAGCTTTCCTATTGTTTAAGGTATACTTTTGAAAATTTTGCTAATATTTATCAGCTAACTTGCTGATTTTTAACAGAAAGCTACTTTCCTATCAGTTGGAATTTTTGATCACTCAGTCCTCTGAATAGAAAAGAATTCTCTCCTTTATATGTTCCATATGGTAAAAACCATTTACATATATGGGATAAGCAAAAGTAGGTTTACAGTTGTACAAATAGATAATACGACAGTTAATAAATAATAATACAAGAGTAAACTGTGTTTTGTGTACTCACAACTGTAAACCTACTTTTGCCCTCCCCTCTATTTACACTTCCTCTATCTAAAACTCAGCTATTTGGAAAACTCACTTATCCAGAAGATAACTAGGAACCTAGAAAATCATTATATTAGTAGCAAGACTCCTTCCTGCCTTTAAAACCCACATGTTGTCCTCAAGTGAGCATCTAAAGACACTCTATGAGGCTGGCACGCTCTCATTTTTCAAAAAGTTTTTTGCATTTGTGTTCTTTATACCTTGCACCTCTAGCCCCCCTGGTTGGAATGCCTTTGGTCATTTTATCTATCTAGTTAACTTTTACTGTTCTTGAAGCCTGAGCTTACAATGATCTCATCTTAAAAGCAGGCTGAACTTCACCATCCCAAGTTAGGTAACCTGCTCCTTGTCTTCCATATTATCATAACCCCCTGCGCTACATACCTCCATTAGCATTTGATGCAGAGGTTTGTAATCATATCAAAGACTAAGCTCTATGAGGGTCCAGGGGGACCGTGGCTTGTCCCTCTGTATGTCCACAGCACCTACAATGGTTGTCTGGGACCTCGTAGGCACTTAGGAAATTATTATTAAATGAAAATACTGGTTGCTAATTAGTTTCCAGTTAATAGCAGATTTTCTGCAACAAATTAGAAACTGAGGCTGGAGTGAACATAGTGAGAGAAAAGAAACAAAAGCCAAACAGAAAAAAATATGTCAGTCAGATACCAAAACTGGGAAAGCAACCCTTACATACCTCTGAAGTCCCAGAGAGGGTTTCCTGTTCTATAGCATAGGTCTTTAATTGATATCTACAATGGCAATTCTGAGTCATCAAGAAAAGGTTAAATTATGAGTAGCAACTTGTGTAAAAGGAAATTGTAGGAAGGTAGCCATCCAAAAGTATTAAAGTAAAAAGGTTTAGGTGCATAGAGATTCAAGTCCTGTAGAACTGAATATGTGGCTATTCAAAACAATTCCTTCTCTGGGGTCCTGGGTAATAAGGTCTTCTTATAGTATCAGACAATGAAATATTTAAATGTTTATCTGAGGTATGTCATATGCAGTAACGTTTAGCTTGGTTTGGTAATTGACTTCCTGTTCTTAGAATTTTGTGGTCAAAATCATGAAAATCAAGTGACCACAAAGAAGGAAAAGTTAAGAGAGAACAAACAAGGAGTTTTGGGACGTCAGTTTATGTTAAAGGTTAACTCCAGTCCTTGTACATTCTACCGGTCTGTACAAAATAAAAATAAAAAAATCATTCCTGTATATTCTTTCTACCATTGTCTTTCCTTCTATCATCCGTGAGCAAATTCTTGAACCAAAATACGTGCATCTTTCTCGACGATGAACACTAATTCTCCACATCAGTATAGTCTTCCATCCAGATAAGTGGAGAGAACCTCCTCAGGATGACTGAGGCTGGCCGCGGTGGCTCTGACTAATCCCTAAGTGAGGCCCCCGTTTTGAGCTGCTCAGACCTTTCTTGTGTGGGAAGTGGTAGGAGGTAAGTTGAGTTTCAGAGCATCATGCAAACGGTCAGCAGGTCCCCTGATCTCTTGTCCTGCCCTTCCCTACTCATGCCAGCTTCTGTGCATCAGAACAAGGTGA